TATAAGCATTTAGATGTTGGGGAATATTAGCCTGCAATATGAGACAGAAGGAAGTTCTCACAGGAAGACGATGTTACAAATGGTCCAAAGGTGAGAAAAGTTTCCGGTAAAACATCTTTTTTTAAAATATTGCTGTCAGGAGATGTGTTGCTCAGAAGGCTTAGACGTCCTAGCTGTGGTGTTTGAGGAGTTGCTTCCGGCAGGAGTGCTGGAAGAAATTGCTGTGTGTTACTGCTCACGGTAGACTATGAAGGGTGTCGGCAATTAATTATTTAAACTTTGAAGCCTTTGGTTATATGTCTTTTAAGACTCTGCTGTCTGTCTGAAGAAATAGATTTTAGTGACCATACTACAGTCTAAAGTCTAAGTCATAATGCTGCGCCTTGCTATTTTGAGATTCTAGGAGGTCTGACTTAAGATGTTATTCTTGAAAGCTATCCAGCTAATAGTCCAGCTAGTGGGGTAACCCACTGCAATATCCAGGTAATTGCTGCTTTTCATCTCTGGTAAAGTAATTTGAGGTGTGGAGTGACTCTTTTCTGATATGCTACCACATAGTGAATGTAGAGCATGATGCTGTACAGTTGTTAAATGTGCCCAGTCTCAAAGAAAGCAAATTGCTGCAGTGTTAGTGTCATTGCAAAACTCCCCAGAGATTTTTTTCACATGATTCATGTGGGTGATGAACAAAGATTTTTAAAACACAGTTTTGCAGATGAACTTTGACAAGTTGGTAAAAATCAGATAGGTGCTCTTGTTCCCCGTGAACCAGGAAGGGCCTCAGCACATGTAACACTTGCCAGAATTGTGTGGAGAGATTAGGCTCTTATATAAAAACAGTAGTGCCAAGAGCTCCATTGTGCCTGGCTATATACAAATAACGTAATATTGTGAGATAAACTTGCAGCCGTATCAAAGCTTCTTGAAATCCTAGCTTGTTCTTGCTCTCTGCCTTAGGGTAGACTTTCACAGCCAGGCTCTTGGCACACAAAGGTGAAAACCTAATGCTTTAAAAGCATCTTCCTAGTTCTGGAATACATTTACATCTCAAAATAGACTTGCTTTTAAGTACCTTCTTAGTTGGACCTTTTTGGTCCTAATTGAACATTTCGAATTACTACTGGGTATTAAATCTTTCTTAAGTCATGTAACTTGAAGACTTTGCTGTTCAGGTACTCAGCTGTCGGTGTGTGATTGTGAAAATAGCCTTTTGAAAATACATGATGCTTTTTGGGGGCTAAGAAGCACTGACCTGGCTACAGCTCATGATCATCAAGCTGCAACTGCATGAATTGTTGAGCACTGATGTATTAATCACAAATAATGTTAATAACTTGGAGGGGAGTTTAGCTTTTTTTAGGGCTTTGAAGAAGTTGTGCAATGAGCCCTTTGTTGCCTTGCCCTGGAGTGTTTGACTTAAACTTGGGGCTGCTGTTTCCTGATGCACAGATTTAATATATGGGAGACTGTAGCCTCCTCTTGTCAAGGCTTTAAGCTGATATTCTAATTTAAGAGGTTTCTAGCTCTGTGGGAGGCTTTCCCCGCCCCATTCCCCCCTCTTTAGCTGTGTGTGGCTGTGTTCATATCAAATGACTTCACTGATCTGGTACAGAAAAAATGAACTGAAAGAGCCTGTGGGCATTTTTGTGTGTTTGATAAAATCATTCCCCAGGTCTCATTTTGTGTGGCTCCACACATGATTCTGTGTATAAAATGCCTGTGTGTGTGCTTACATGTAATGCTTAGAGATTTGATATATGGTTTGGTACAGGATTACACTTTGGCCCAGGCAGGAAAACTAAATCTGTAGGATTCACCTTCGTACGTCCTCATAAAAATGTCTCACCACGCTGGAATTGCTTGGCCATGGCTGTCACTGGCTTTGCTCTGGGACTGTGTATTTCTCATGTCAAAGCCAGAAATACTGTGGATTTTCTGGATTGCTTTTAAGAGTCTTTAGTGCAGGATGGTCAGATTCACCAAGTCGTCTACAACAAAATATATTATTACCGAAATCACCATCTTCCTAATCTGTGAAGACCTTTCTGTTGGGATGCTTGAAAGTGGTTATAATCTACTAAATGTGACTGTTTGAAATGTACTTTTTGTTGTGTAACTAAAGAAAATGCCTTTAAAAGGAAGTCTGATTGCAATAGGGACTGTTGCGGTATTTTTTTTTTACCCCTTTTTGACTAGAATCACTCAAAGAAGTGATGATTTATATTCTGTTTTGGATAATATCTAGTACAAAACCACAACAATCAAATTGTGTGGTTGTTCTAAATTGGCACCAGTCTAAGATAGAGGAAGATTAGCCTTGTACTGCTATTGTTTGTTCTTAGTGTGTTGAATTTGTTGATGTTTTGTAAGTTTTTTTCCATTCAGAAAACAAGGAAATAATATTGATAAGAAAACACAATACGGATGCTGGGACTGTTTCACAAGATAAAATTTAGATTTCCGTATATACTTGAATGGGAGTCAATCGTCCTTTTTGGGTGTTCATTGACTATAGCATGGTGTCTCCAGGCTGAAAGAAAACAGTGAAACGTAACAGTGACCTGCTGAAAAACACCCTGTGTGATGGAAAGGGAAAAACCTGGGCAGAAGGGTGTCATCTCTTACACTGTTAGCGTGAGGAGATGAATAGGTGCATTGTCTGAACCAGATCAACCTGTTCTATAGACTTTAAAGCCAGTTTTAAATAATCTCTGATACAGAGCTTCGAATTATTATATGGTGGCTCTTAATTATTAAAAGCAAACCAGTTAAGCAAGCACAGGGCCAAAGAGTATATAAGTGAGTTAATCAGCTTAAACTCACACCTAGTAATCTCTTTTCTCCCTTTGTCGTGTGCTGGGTTGAAAAAGTTGTGGTCTTTGAATTGTAGTAATTCATGCATTTAAACTTGAAGCTGTGTACTAGAAGCCTGCTGGCAGTTCCTCTCACTTCTTACAAGATGCTATTTTTAATGCTTCTTGCCCTTTATAACAGTTGGATGATTCAGCCATTCATGCCTATGTAACTTCATTTTAATGTAGTATCTTGTTTTTCTTACTTGTTTGCAAGCCTTCTGAAGTCTCTCCTACATATCAAATTCATCACGTATGAAACCCTTGAGTGCTGTTGCTGCACAGTAGGTAGGACCTTCTCTTTCTTGTGCGTCTGTGTGTTGGAGTGCAAACCAACCATTACTTAAATGTGTTCCGGTCTGCAAGAACCTGTTCATACCCACCCCTATACTGACTTGTTAGCAAATACAAGGAAATGCACTGTTCTGTGCATCCCATAATATACCGCAGCCATAACTGTCACTAATGTAATGGCACCTCTGTGTCTGCACTTCTCTAGAGCGCTGTGTTTTGGCTTGTGGTGGTCTTGGTCCTTCCAGCCTGTGCCGAGTCTGGGCAGCATTGCTCATTAGGGGCTTCCAAGCATACTCAGGGTTTAGTGCCTCTGGCTGGGACCTGTATCTGCATTTACAGCCTCCATTTCCTGATCTCCTCCTTTTTTAGTGCCTGTATGCTTTTGGAAAGAAAGGCATGCCTCCTTTTTAATCTCTTCTGAGCCAAGGTGGTAAAGCAGCCTTTGAAGCCATTTGCCTTGGGATATCATTCCTTGCCCTGATTTAGGGGAACTTTCTCAATCCAGCCAATGTTTTGTGGCTCACAGGTTCTTGAGTTGCGCGGTTTCTCTTTTGATGAATCCTTCTTAGGCAGGAGCTATGTTGTGCCTCAAGCTGTCTCCACTTCCAGCAGATCTGGAAAGCTAAATGCCAATTTGTGTATTATGGTTAGAGCCTGTCTATTTAGCTTGCCCTTGCCATGAGGGGGAAGTCACGCTCTCCCGGGGGCTTTGTGCTTTCTTTTCCTACCTTGTGCTTATCTGCATTGACCACATTCACCACTCTTAACTCTGTCAAAAGTCATGTTTTCTTTTGCAGGGTTAAAGTTCAATTAGGGAAGGGTGTCAGAGCTCATACAGGGAGGAGGGTAAGACCATGAAGAAGGAGAAAGAGCAGATGAGTTCTCTCCTATTCCTCCCAGGGCAGTAAAATGTTAGTTTGACTCATCTGTAATATGTAAATTAATCCTAATGCAGCAAGGAAAACTATTTGGCCTTTGTTGGGCTCTGTCCTGTGCTAGCATGCTGCCTAGGCACACTGGTACTGGTACTTGTTCTAGCACGAAGGAGGGACAGAAAATGCACCCTGGTATGAGGAGGGTGGGATTGTGAGAGTTCTGATTTGCATCGTGTTAAGCTTCTCCGTTGCTTCTCACCACTAGAGGAAGGGAAAAAGCAAAAACACACACAAAAATATTTGTCTGGAAGGGGTTACGTTTCTGCTTCTGCCCAGTAGATGCTCTGATTGCTGTGGGTTACTGGAGTTACCACAGATGCTTGAGTTTTAGCTGGCAGAAGTAATTATTTTTTTTTTTCTTGGAAAGGTGGAGAAGAGAACAGTAAACATTTCTAAGGTTACCAAGAGTCAAGTGTTTCAAGTAGAGAGCAGTAAATATAAATAAAACTAGAAATAAATGGTCTCCACTGGTGTGGAAGTAATCGGCAGCACCCTATACTGGTAATTCATCAGCAAACCAGTGTCTTCTGAGCACTTCTGTGCTTTTGGGAAATGCATGGCAAGCTCCCTTTCTTCCAGCAGGACCGGCCCCGTGTTCAGGATGTGACCCATGCTGCCTAGTGCAGGCAGTCCGTGCCTGCCCAGAAGCTGTCAGGAAGTGGCAAAAGTACAGTGTGTCAGCACCTAGAGTGTGTTTTATTTCCTTTTTTGGCTTCATCCCCATTTGTTTAAGCAGAAATATGCCCTAGAACTTGGCTTACTTGTTTGGGGTTTTTTAAAATCCATTTTAAAAAAAGTAGGCAAACAAGTTCTGTTTGTGCTCAAATGACCTCAACTGACTTGCAAATCTGGACCAAATTTTAATTAATATGTTGATTTGTTTCCAAAGTTGTATCTGTGGTTCCTTTTTTTTAATCAGATCAAGCCTCAGAGGTACAGGTGACAATGATGCTGACTGAAAGCTGTAAACTCAGAGGACTTCATCACAGGTGAGCTAAATAGTGTTTATAAGCAAAGCTGTATCTGTCTGAGCTGAAAATACTTGCACTTAAAGCTCCCTAGGGGGAAAAGCAACAATTTTTTTTTTTGAGAATTTAGCAACATTTTGTATATTAATTTTTTTTAAGCTGTAAAGAGCTGAAACTATTCTTGTTGCACTTAAAAATACAGAATTGCAGATATAAGATTTTTCTCATAGCAGCACGGCCTGTAAAATTAAATGGTAGTGGCATGTGGGAAAATGGGAAGTCTTTGGTTTGCTGTTCCAATCCTCACAGTGAAATATGGGTAGATATTTGTTACATATATTCTTAGCTATTACAGAAAAAGGTGCTGCAGGCACCTGTTTATGCTGGTTCTTGCACAGGTTAGTTGTTAAATGCAGTGGGAATCTTAGTGATGATGAGAGTGAGTATATATGCAGGTTGATTCCCTGTTTAGCCAATTTACTAGTCTGCTTTGTATTGTTCATCATTTTCTAGGTGGTGCATAAAAGTACTGTGATTAGGTACTGTCCCACAGGGACAGAAGGAAATGTTTTGTAGGACTTCTGCACATGAGTTGTCCTCATATAGCATCATAACATCACTGATGGGATTTATTCCTTAAGAAGTAATCACATGTTTTTTTGGGCTGGTGGCTTAAGTTTGTTAAATTAATGCCCCAAACAGCTTGAGTTAGTGGCAGTTTTGCAGCTTGGATTCAAGGCTGAAACTGCCCTTAAGTATCCTCATTACTGGCAAGGATGCAGGTAAGAAACAACCTACACTAATCGTCAAGTCCCTAGACTGGTAATTGATCTTTTTTTACTGGTAATGTGAAGAAAATGAAAATAGTTCAAGCAGAATTATTAGTTATACAGGGCATTTAAAAGTTGCTTTTCTAAAAGTTGTTATAGTTAAGGCCTTGCCTAAAAGACAGGATTGTATTAAGAGTAGCAGCAGGTTCTTGGGGAAACATTCTTAAAACTGAAACAAAATGAAACAACCTCCCTCCAGTCATTTAAAATCAGCTCTTCTCTTCCCTATTACAAGTCAGACCCTTCAAAAAGTCCAAAAAGCTTTTCTTCTGTACACTGCCTGTGAAGCTGGGACCCTTGTCTTGGTTGAAGGTAGAGCTACATGGGTCTGTAGGGTCATGGGTGTGACACCTTTGGGTAAGAACAGGAAATGTCAAAATTCCCTTTTAAAAACAATTATAACTTATTGGAGACTTACTGATGTTTTCAATAGAAGATGCATTTTTTTCTAAGAAATATTTAATGGAAAATTGAAACTATATACAATTTGTTTTAAGTTTCTACAAATTTATACATTGATACTATAGGAAGATGTTTAGGAACAATGCAGCATGGGCGTTATGAGCCACAAGGAGGGTTGGAAAGGACCTTTAAAGTGCTTTAGTGGTGGACTTGGCGGTGTTTGGTTTACAGTCAGACTCAATGATCTTTTTCAACCTGCATGATTCTATGATTAACACACCTGTGATAAAACTCCTGAGATACTTTTTCATTTAGACTGTAGAGTTTAGTTCATTGAAAACTAAAATTTTCTGTTCTGTCACTTTGAAGTGGATCAAACATGATGTTTTGACTTTTTTTAGACCACTGTAATGGAGCTATATATTTTATATCTACAGCTGCATTTAGAATGAAACACTTCCAAGTTGAGGATATATTGCTTCTTAGTATAAATAACCCATATTCATAGAAATTTATTTCAGGCCTTTTGGACCAAGTGAAAAAATTTGAAGGATTCTTCCAATGGGAAACGACTCAAATATTTAATTTTTTAAGAAACAGATGTGTAGGGCTTCAGTTATTTGGAGACCTTGTCCTCTGCATTTCATAATGCAAGAATAAGTGCTTTTCTTCAGTGTTGAATTACTTCCACTTACTGTGGTTTAGGATCAAGAAAATGTTTATCAAATTTCAGTTTCATAAAATTAGGATTTGCTCTCCCTGTCTTCCAGGAATCTGCTACCTATCACTCATGTCTGTATAGAAGAGGGAGAGAAACCAATGGTGCTGCTGCCATACATGAACTGGGGGAACCTTAAACTATTCTTGCGACAGTGCAAGCTGGTAGAGGCCAACAATCCTCAGGTACACTCAGAAATCTGACTTCTTGCCCATTAAACTTAGACTTGCTTTGTCATCTTTGTATGTGCCTTAAAATAAATACTTGTGGTATTCATCTGTTCTGTTGTGACAATGAGAGAATTAGCAAGCAGGTTTTGTGGCAAGTGTTTGGTTTGGTTCATATAATAGTTCTTGGCTGCATGCATCACAGATGTTCAGAGAGCATGAAGCTGAGTTAAACTCAAAGCTTAGGCTAATAGCTGGTATATCAGTACATATTAAAATATTTTAAAGCTAGAGAAAATGGTATATGAGTGTGGATTTAAGTTAGAATACACAGGGGAAAACTGTATGGAGAAGTTTCAGATTTACTCATTTAATTTTTGGTATAATTAATAGATTATCTCTTTAGTTATAGTTCTTAATTGTAAGTATAAAGCACTTCTGTTAAACTTTTAAGGTACTGCTGTAGATTTGCTATTAAAATAACTGGATTTATTTAACTTTAGATACTAAAGGAAGCAATCTGCTGATTTTATTTTTTTTAACTGCTGTTGGGTGCTCTGCAGCATTCATAACTTTACTGTGTTTCAGTGGAACCTGTTGCATATATTTCATAAGTGAGAAAATATGCCTAAATGAGAACATATTTTGCATATTTTTAAAAATCTGAGCATTTAGTGATGGATGTGTATATGTAGTAAAACTGTCCCTCTTGTTAGGATTACCTTGTCTTTTTTCAACTTCACCTTGGCTTGACTTCTGTCTTCAAACTGAATCAAGCACAAAATTGTTTCCTGAGGTCAGCATTTGTCCCTGTTGTGTACCACATTTCAAAATAGCAAGGGACACATACCTCTGTTAATTTGTAAAATGTGATAAGCTCCTAGGATCTCTCAATTTTTTTTTTATTTGTTTTGTTGTTTAATCTGAGTTAGAAATCCCTATGCAATGTACTAATATCCGTTTCCAAGAATTTAAGCAGAAATGGTATTTCTAATCTATATTATGTTAAACAGGAGTTACCTCTTAGTAACTAGATGACTGTATTATCAAAAAATGGGACATTTGATGTCCTAGATACTGGAAGATGGAACTTTTCTACAAATACCTAATGGAAACTCTTTGAGTTTTCTGAAATTATATGTGGCTACTGTTCTTAATAACAGGCTTTTAATGAAGAAGCCAGTTTATTACTGTTTTGATTTAGTATTTGGTTTATTTTAAGCCCAGTCTTGTAACTTCAGTGTGTCCACCTGCATATTGAAGTTTCTGAAACACTATGGAAATAGAAGTGGGAACCCAAAGTATAAATATGTGCAAGGATTTAATTTATATAGGACTGTGAAGTTGTAAAAGTAGATGGAGCCAACAGCCTTTGATACCAGTTCTCAGCATAGCAAGATAGACATATTCATAGATAGCAAAAAGCATTTTGACTGTTATTTTGCTCTGCTTCCTGAAAATGAGTTGGTTTCCAGGGAAACAGAAAGCAAAAATATGTGGTAAGAAGGGTAGAATTTATTATTTTGCCTGTGTTCACCACTAATCAAAGGAAAAGCTGTGTAGCAGTGAGGCAGTTGCAAACTGGAAACATTTGCCCCTGGCATGTTTAAAAAAAAAAAAAAAAGCTAAAATTTATAATAAGGAGTCTTTGTAAGTTTTCACTAGGTGGTAGTGTCTGTAGTTACTAGAAAGCATCAGCTGCTAAAGGGGGGGTGAGGGGGGGCACTAGAATACAACAAAACCACCAACCTCACAGGCACTGGGCTTGCAGTTTTGCAATGATTGTTGTTCTATGCTCTTGCAGGCAATTTCCCAGCAGGATCTTGTACATATGGCTATTCAGATTGCCTGTGGAATGAGTTACTTGGCCAGACGGGAGGTCATTCACAAAGACCTGGCTGCTAGAAACTGTGTGTAAGTACTTGATGGCGTAGAGTCATCATGAAGACGGTGTTACATCAGTAGCTAGAGCTACAACAGGCTTTCTTCAGTTGGCCTGATCTCTACTTCAAAATATACTACTATTTGGGTTTTTTTACAAATTTTTTTACTTTTTTTTTTTACAAATTTTGGATGAATAGTTTTGTCAGGAAGAGGTTTTCCTCTAAACGTATGTTGAACCATAAAGCATGGTTTTCAAGGAAGCAGAACATCCTTGTTTTTAAAATACTTTTTTTTAGGTTTTGTCTATGACTTTTTCGAAGGCTTGAAAAATATTAAGGCTTCCCTTAAGCTTTAATAAAAACTTGGAATATATTTGGCAGTTTATTGATGGATAGATTTTTGTATGAAGTAGTTTTTATTATTTTTTCTTAAAAAATGGCTTAATGGCTTTCTTTGTTGGTAGATTTCTTAGTTGTCAAATGATGAATGTTGGTAGATTTCTTAGTTGTCAAATGAATGTGCTTCATAATGGTAAGAATGCCAAAGTAGGGTTTGAGACCATCAGACTGGAATTACGCCCTCAAAATGTAGAGATTGAGGTGTTTCTTTCCACAAACCAAATAATTCAGACTGCCTACTCTGCTCATTCTTCATCTGCTTTAATACCTAATGAGGGGAAACAGAAAATACAGGATTCTGCTTAAACTCAACTAAACATCTGAAAATATCAAAAGGGCCGCCATTTAGTCCCTGAGCTTCGTTTTATGATATGTGAAATAACACCATAATTGAAGTAACATAGTTTTTAAGACCACAGTTGAAGCCTTTCTTGCACTGTGTAAGTTCGATGCAGGTCCCTAGAGACTCTTTTCTTAACTCTTACTGCTTGTTCTCTCTAGTGAGCATGTCCAGGAAGAAAAGCAGTACTGCAGGAGACAAAGATCATAAACAGTGCTTCAGGGAAATTACCTTGTGGCAGCCTCGCATTTCTGTGCAGGAATTAATAGCCTAGTGCTTTTGCTGGGCAAAGGGTCGGCAGGCCAGGCTGCTTGACTCCTTGTCCTCCTGGAGCAGAGTCCAGCTTCACTTTAGTTGCCGTATGTGTGATTTGGAGTACTGGCAGTAAAAATCAATACATGGTGCACCTGGTGCTCCTTCTCCATGGGAAATGCAGGCAGGAGGCAAGCATCTACTGCTCTGTGCTGCAGTACAAGAAATCCTGGGCTAGCATTAGGTTTTTAAAGTGAAAGAGGGTGCCAGTAGGCAGGATCCCTTGAAGGGCTTTGGTTATCTGCCACCCCTTTGTTCCCCAGGTCTGTTCCTGTGTGGTGAAGGACTGGGAGGAGTTGATATGAAGTATGTCAGACCTATGTACTTGTGCCCTAATTTTGGGAAGGGAGCCAGGATTGCAGTGGCCCTGGCAGATTTGTTAAGGGAGGAGATACTTTTGGCCTTGTGTGCCCATGGCACAGTAGGGCCTAGTTGAGTGGACATATGGATTACACAAGTCAGAGAGCTCTCATTGCTGAGAGATTACCTTTTGGTTTGTATTTGTTTATAGATTGGTCTTCTAGGAATTTCTCTGAACTTATAAGAGTGATTAGATATGGAAATTTCCTGGTCTTTAAATTTTGAGGGCAATGAACTGACCTGAATATGCATAGGAATGGAATAAATAAGAAGGCATTTGAGATAGTGAAGCAGGAAACGCACAAATCGAGCATTTCTATTTAATTTTTCTCATTAAAATAAATTATTGACAAGACGAAAAGACAGCAAATGCCATTTTGTTACAATCCCCCTAACCAATGTTATTTCTATATTTTTGTCATAAGATGTTAAAGCCATCTCACCTGTATTGTCAGCTGTCTGAGAACACTGAACTTCATTACACAGGTTTTTTAAGTTTCAAAGAATATGAATTAACATCCTGTGGGGGGGATCAGTAAGCTCCCTGTGCTTTTTTGAATCATCTTTTGTTGATTAAAAGTAAGTTTCTTTTAGTCAGTATCCTATTTCTGACAGTGGTCAGAATGACTATCTCTTGTTGAGAGAAATAAATAATATCTTACCAGATTGTTTGGAGACAAACTGTTAGGCCACAGATAATACTGGTTGCTTTAACAAGATATTACTAGATTTTGCTTTGCTTAAATCTCTGGCTTCTTATTGCTACAGAGGTAGCTAAAACTTGTTTAATCAGTCTGATAGGGGATCTCTGAGGGAGGAGGAATAATTTAAGGGAGTTGTTTGTTTGCTTTAACTGTATTTTTTTCACTTGTAAATGTTTGATTTTTATTTAATCTAAGACTGGTGATTTTTCTAGTGCTTATCTGTTAACGCAGAATAAATACGTTCTTTGATAATATTCGATAATCACAGAATAAATGTGTCTTGATATAGAATAATTAAAATGAATAATGTGATTAGTGTTGGCCAATTAAATCCTGAGTCCGAAACTTAAGGTTGAGCCTAAATATTTTCTGTAAAACTGTAATGCTACATTTGATAAATACTTTTGTTCTTTTAAATTAGCATTGACGATGCACTTCAGGTTAAGATTACAGACAACGCGCTATCTCGAGACCTATTTCCTATGGATTACCATTGCCTGGGAGATAATGAAAACAGACCAGTTCGATGGATGGCTCTTGAAAGCCTGGTTAACAATGAATTTTCCAGTGCTAGTGATGTGGTAAGTTTGTTTTGGTTTTTTTTCTCTTACATTTTGTAAATGTATCTTGTTGACATTTCTCCCTTTTTACAGCCATTGGAGAATCATGGCAATGAATCGGTAACAGTGGCTTGTCCAGAACAGCATCTGTACACTTGATTCCTGCATTTGCTGCTCATGGCAGATAGTTCAGAGGTCAAGCAGGCCCTTCTTGCATTCAAGTGTTAGCATAACTTCCCTTGAACTTCAAGGTTCCTGTCAGCTTCTTGTCCCTCTGCAGGACCCTGTCCTCTAGCCTGTCAGCTGCTTTACCCAGATTGGTACCATCCATGAGCTTCTTGAGGGTCCAGGCTGTTAGTGAAGATAAAACAGTATTGATTCCTGAGCAATGCCACTAGGAACTGGTCATAGCAGTTTGAGTCCAGCAGTCCAGCCACTTTAATCTCGACGTCTCACTAATTTGGTATAAGGATGCTGTGGAAGGTTATGTCAACTGAAGTCAGTGTGAGCATCCATCATTCACCCTGTGTCAACTCACACTGTCTTTTCAGCAAAGAGCTAGTCAGGTTAGTCAGGCACTGTTTGCCCTCAGTAAATCCATGCTGGCTGTTCCCAGACACCTTTGTTTCACATGCATGGAAGTGACTATCAGATCACGTGCTCCCCAACATTAGCAGGAGCTGACGTTAGACTATCTGGACTGTAGTTCCCCAGATCCCACCTCTTCAAGAGGATGCCTTTTTTCCAGATGTCACCAACCTCCCCCAGTTGTGGTGGCCTTTCAGAATGAGGAGAGCAGTGTTGCAGTGACTGCCACCTGCTCCCTTAGCACTCTTGGCCGCATCCCATTTGGTACAGTGGTCTGGTGTGTGTGCACTTGGCTTTAGTGCAGCCCAGATATTTTCCTCTGTGGGTATTTTTTGGGAGGTTACTTTTGCTGAGCTTTGGTCTTCCAAACTCCGTCCCTGCATGCTGATGCATTCTCACTCTATTCCTCAAGTAGTCTTCTACTTCCACTCTCTCTTTGCTTCCTTAGTGTCTGAGTTTAGTCAGTGCATCCATGGTGGTCTTCTACTGTGTTTGCTCAGCTTCCTGCATGTTAGAAGGGGCTGCTTCTGTGCTTACAGGAGCTTGTCCTTGCAGATGGACCTATGGTAATTAGAGTGCTAATTAATGGTAAACCACTTGCCACTGTGATCTGTCCCTTAGTGCTACGGGGGCATTTTCTTTCATAATTAATGCCGCTTGCTTAAACATGGTTACATCCAGAAACTAAACTGCTTCTTAAAACATAGTAGTTTAAAAATCTTTTAAAAAGTTCTGGTATGGCTTGTTTTTTTTCTTTCCTCATTGCCATAGTCTTTGTACTGGTGCTCAAGCCACATAAACAAAAGACCCAAAACAAACAAACAAAAAAGGAAGGAAAGGAGTCAGCTCTGCTCCAGAAATACTACTTTACTCATTGGAAAATGTTTGGGGGTTTGTGTTATACCAAACTTATGCCTATAAAAGCATGTTTGTTTAATACTAAATGAGATCAGTTAAATATTGATTTTTTTTTTTAAAAAAAAAATTACTTTTTTTTTTTACATCTAGAAAGAAGTGTTCACTGTTTGTGAACACAGGATTTGGACATAAAAGCTGCTGATAACACTGGCGGTGAAATGTAGAACTTTATTAGGATGAAGGCACCTTGGTTTCATAACCATTTCAGAAAACTAGTACAATTAAGCATATAGTCCACAGTAACTCTAAACTCCTTTTTGCATTATGTGGGGATAAATGTAACTCGGCTTCTAATACACAGTTCTTAGCTTTGCATATGTAGCTATCTGAGTTTTGCAGTGTGCAGAAATTGACTGATTTTCTGGATGTAGAAAATACCATCTTCCCTAAACCATCTTTGCATTTACGTGGATGCTTTTCACAAATATGGTGTAATATGTTTTTGTCTGCTTGCTAGGAACAAATCTAGTTATCAATTGCAGTTATTTTCTAATCAGTGATGAAATCTGTTACAAACAATTTAGCTGGTGTCTGTTAAGATGAGGTTGGTGTGTGTTCTAGGCTTGCTTTTTGAATGCATTTCTTTAAAATGGTTTTGCTGGCTTGAAAAGTTTCTGATATGTTCCTCCTCTGCCAACAGTTGTATCAGTCAGCCAAAGCATGGAAAAACAAAACACAGTTCCTGCTGAATTTTAATTCTGTGGTTTTTCCCTGTGTTGGGCACGAAGCTCTGCATCTCTTTATACCATTTTTATGCAGCTACTTACGGAATTAGAAATGGTTGCATTCTCAAAGTAGTTTTGCTTGAATCACCCTTATTCTCATGTTCTAGGTGCACCACCACTTGTCCCCTGGCATTTTTCTTAACTGCAAATGAAACAATGTCCTCCCCTGCCTTCCCACACTGCTAATAGATGACTGATGAGATCAGGGCCGCATCAGTCCCCCTGCCATTCTCCAGCTCTGAGCTTCCCATCAGTGTTCACTGACAGCATCCCTTAGTTTTTGGTTTTAGGTTTTGATTGAGGTGGGGTGGCGGGATTTCTTTTAATTAAAAACAAGAATATTTTGAGGCTTGCAGGATTCTGCCCCTCTTTAATAAATCGTGATGTTTGCAGCACTTGTAACTTCAGCAGTGAATCATCAGTGTGCAGTATCAACACCATCTATGTTTTGTCTCTTTGGTATCTTGACACCAGACAGTAAATCATTTTACTTGTCCTGTGCTTGCATGTTGATTGATTGATATTTTTTTTTTTAATCACCTTAAGCTTCTTTTGGGCAAGCACCGTCAGCTGAATATGTTGAATACTGATCCAGCTGTCAGGTTTATTTAGATGAAATCTTTATTTTTCTTGTGAGTCTGACTTTGAGCATAGACTGAAAATATACAGATGTCTTTGATTTAAAAAAATTATGATTTCATCCAGCCTGTTCTTCTGAACCTTTGAATTTCACTGACCTTTTCTTTGAGGAATTCTGTATAGTATTTTGAAGAGGTAAAATGTGATATAAACTGTTAATTTTTTCAAAACAGTGGTTTAGTGTTTAATATTACTTAGATCTAAGTGTTTTGAAATGTCATACTGAAAAAATGCAGTAAATACATGATTTTTTTAGCACTTAAATCTTAAGTGCACCAAGATTTTAATTTTACTTCAATTTAGCACCTGTGCTGTGACTCTTAAATTTATCATGACAAAGTATTGTGCTGTTGAACTTGGATGTATATAGCATTTATGTAAAGCTTTCTTACTCTGCGTAGTCTTATTTGTAACTGATTTTGTGGAACATCTGAAGGAGCTCTCAAGTTGCCATGTTCTGTTAATACCCTATGCTCTTTCTTTTTAGTGGGCCTTCGGTGTAACACTGTGGGAGCTGATGACTTTAGGACAGACTCCGTATGTTGATATCGACCCCTTTGAGATGGCTGCTTATTTAAAGGATGGCTATCGAATAGCTCAGCCAATCAACTGCCCTGATGAACTGTAAGTGCATGTTTTTGGAGAGAATAAAATGTCTATTTTGTAATCAGCCTGTTAAGCCAGCCTTATCAATGAGAGGGCTGGGTCTGCCTTTTACACAAAACCTCATGTAAGTATTTGTGTGGCTTCAGTGACCTACATCAAGGAACTTGGGTTTAAATTAAATGCTTTTTGATGATGTTGTTGAGTTTCACTTAATCCTAACCCAATTCTTTTCCTTATTGTGACACGTGAGAGAAATGGGGTTGATCAGGAAGATGGGAGGAGGCAGGCAAAGGGACCTGGGATTTTCATCTTAGTGTTTGCAGGGCTGCAATGTAGGAAGCCACTAGGTTTGTAGGTAGAGGGAATCTGTTCTCTCAGGAAGACTGTGGAGAAGTACTGTGTGTAATTGCGTTAAATGGCAGGGCTTGAGGTTTAGTCATAATCCTCATGGTACAGGAGAATGCAAGTGCACAGACACTACCTTCTGCCTCATGTGTTCTTCCAGATCCCCTTCCTGTAAGCCTACCACAGGAACACTTAGAACTGTGCTTTTACAATAGTTGAGCAATTTTTGATGAACTGTATATTGCTTCCTCCTGGATTGTCTCCAGCTCGTATCCTAAATCAAACCAGCACTTCCAGTCACAGCACATTTATTGATCACTCCAGGTGTCTGTCCTCTGAAGTTGCTCAGCATCGTGTATCAGAAGATCCAGGGTCCTTTTCTCTCTTCAGTCACCAGGTTTTCTAGTGGCAAATGCTGGTTTTTGCTTTCAGGTTGAGACTGTGGTCGTCCAATTTATGTTCTCATGTCTTCCATTTGTTTGTCTTGCAGGTTTGCTGTGATGGCTTGCTGTTGGGCCCTAGATCCTGAAGAAAGACCCAAGTTTCAGCAGCTGGTGCAATGTCTAACTGAATTTCATGCAGCACTGGGAGCATACGTCTGAAACTGTAGAAGATGATTCAATTCACTGATTGGGAGAAGGCATGGCATACATCTGTGGCTCCATGCATCACTCAGACTCACACACGTGATGTGTATAAAGCAACACCAAAGGGAGAAAGCACTTCTTCCAAAACACTGTGCCTTAGAATGCCTTAGTAGTCTGAAGATTTTTGTAAGACCTCTTGATGTTGAATATTTTCTAGATATCACTTTTGCTAAGTTAAATTGAGACCTTTTTATTTGCCATCAGGATTTTTAAAGTGTAGTGATAGTGAATTTAAACACAAGATTTGAATGGACTTTGCACTCTTACAAGAGACGTGATTTTTTTTTTTTTTTTTTTTTTTTTGAAGGGTATATGGAACTGTTAGAAAAGTGAGGCTAGGGGAAATGAATGCAAAAGCCACACTGCAGAAAATTTTCCCCGCTTTTAAAAAAAATGTTGAAACTGAATCTTTCTGACCAGCTCTAGTGTTTGTACTTGTATGTATCTGGAATAGCTTTTTAGTATCAACTACTTCTATTTTGAGACAACAGCACATTGTGGTTGGATCCACAAGCGGCATCTTACCTTTTTAACCCATTCATGAATGTTTTTTGGAAAAGCTGGTCTTGAGGATACAATATCTCCTTTTTAAAGCAGTAAGTGATTATGTAAAAGTGATTCCAGTTTACCTCATGTGGAGAGTAGTAAAGGTGGGGTAAAAATGGTGCCCCTCCTTTCAGATAAAAGGCTGATGTGATTTTTTAAGATGGTTTTATGTGCTAAATAGAGGCCTTCAGAGAAGCGCCAAAGCAGCCCTTGTGTGGAAGTCTTTCACATCAGACTTCTGGATCACAGTTTCTCTTGTTCAAAAAGGTACTGGTTGTTTTTTTTATGGGCTTTTATGGCCTGAAATGGGCTTAAATATATAAATATATATTTGTAAAGACACTTTCAGAGTAAAGAATGTTTTTCTATTACATCTAATGTGAAAGCTTTGTCCCTCACACTGCCCTGTGTATTGAACATGCAGGTTGGTGGTTGTCATTGGGCTGGATTTGGCATGAAGACAAGGTGGATTGCCTGCCTCCCTCCCTGCAGGACTATCCCTGAGAATATATTGTCCTACTGCCTCCTTTAACCCAAATATCCATTCTGCCCCAGGTTATTTTGGGTTGGAACATTACTTAGGAGGCCTGAATAAGGTATTTCAGGAAAATGTGTGGTGATCACAGCCTTACTAACTTCCATATTCTATATAGAACTAAGTTATTTGCAGAGTAACTTCAGTTCTCCAAGTGAACTGTAGGTTGCATCCTCTACATGGTGGCACTGTGAGGCAGGTTGCACTTTAACACAGTGTCAAACATGAAAAATGGCCTTTTGTCTCACGCCATCTTCAGACTGAAACACCCGTAGCCTCAAGTGTTTGTGCAACTGCATGGTTGGGAGCGTTGCCCTGACAGGCTCTGTAGCAATTGTAGCATTTTAGGAGACTGGTCTGCAAGTATGAGCAGCTGAATTTGGCTGTGTTGCATGGCTGGATTTGGCTGTGTCATGCAGATGTGTAGCTTTTGTTCTTTCCAGAACTCTGAACCTTGCTGAAGAAAATTAATCGCTTTCTAATTAGTATCACGCGAGGCAGAACTTTGCCCAGTCTGTTCTCAGTCTCACAGGCTGCCCCTTTGCATTGCTGAGAGATAAAATGGAGTGTCCCTCAAAATCCAGGAGCTTTCCTAGCTGTACTGTGGTGTTTTAGTCGTCTGTGGCTAGTGAACCAAGTCTTGCTTTATCCTGGAAGGAAACTTTCCTGCTGGCTCAAGTTTAGGCTTGTTATGATGGGCTGTGTTTGCTTGAATGATTTGAAACTGGTTTCATTTAACTGGCTTTGGAGTCAGAGTTTCTTGGGGATAGCAATAAGGCTTTGGTTGTGTGGAATTCTGTGGTCTCTTTCTTTTCTGACCCAGGGAAACTACCCAATGTACTTGTGTACAATGACTTGGTGGTTAAAGCTATCAGTGACAGTGTTATTCATACCCAGATCTGTGTTATGATGGGGTCTACAGAGGTCATAGCTGGGAGATCTACTCAAGATTGGAAAACAGCACAAGGTGAAAGTGTTACACGTGTTGTATGTGCTTCACAGGGTAGAGTCACCTGCATACAAGATGTATATCTTATAAAATCTGTTCACATTGATAGGTATCTGAGGTGACATCTACCCACTGCAGTCTTGTCGTGGTTTAACCTGGAAGGCAACTAAACACCACACAGCTGTTTGCTTGCTTCCCTGCTGCCCGGTGCGATGTGGGAGAGAATCAGGGGGCAGAAAACAAAAATAAAATTCGTGGGCTGAGATAAAAACATCTTAATAGGACAGAAAAGGAAGGGAAAATAATGATGATAATAATAAAAGAATTAAAAAATACAAAATGGAGTAATACACGATGCAGTTACTCACAACGTACTGACCAATGCCCAGGCAGTTCCTGAGCAGTGGCCCCTGGCCAGCTTTCCCCCTGGTTTATATACTGACCCTGACGTGATGTGGTCTGGGATATACCTTCAGCCAGTGCAGGTCAGCTGTCGCGCATGTGTCCCCTCCCACCAGTCCCAGAGAAGCTGTCAGGAATTGCCTCTTCACATGTTTTATTTCCCCTGCACTATTCCACATTAATTGATAATTCTACCTAATCAGAAGCAGTGAGCAACTAACAGTTTTCTCCTTTTTTTTTTTTCCTTTGCACAACACCCCTGTAACACAGGTGAGTGCTTCCTGAAGGGGAAACCAATGTCTCAAGAGACTAATCAAGCTATCTCATGTGGCAGAAGCAGCATGGAGCAGAGCAGCTAAATGAATCTGAGTCTCAATCACAGGTTAGCTAATTTTTCCCCCTCTCTCCTTTTGCCTACAGCAAACAGATTTCTACTGTTCCCCCTCACCGAGTAGCAATCTCACTGCCGATGCACTTTGCTATGTCAGTTCTGCCCTCAGACTTCGTCTGTATGGCCCAGACTGCCTTGCTACCACACCACTCCTCCCTGCTCCTGGAAATCCTTCAGCAAGGCAGCCTCAGCCACACATTTCTTTCTCTTATTGTGTGAAATAACTATATTTTTTCAAAATTCATTTTTACACAACCTTGCCCTTAGTGATTACTGCTTCTTGGGAACCTGAATATTGCAACACAGGGGATGGATTGTCCACCAGCTTCAGCACTTTGTTCCTTCTCAAAATCCTTCTCTTCAAAGAAAATTAGTTTTAAAGCAAGTGAAAGTAACAATATTTAGTCTGCCTGAAACCCTCCCTTTGGCCTTACAAAGCAGACATCACCACTCTGAGGGTAGTGAAGCACACAAACAAAATGAGCTTTAGAAGTGTGGAAAAAAAGGATGTCACAGAGCTGTGCTGCACTCCTCCCAGGCAGGCAGCAGTCCTGCCTCCCCCTCCTGTCTGTACATCCCAGCTGCAGGTGCTCCCGGCTGAGGGCAAAGTGCTCTGCTCTTCTCAGTGCCCTCCGCTCCCTCCACACTGCCCGGCCGGAGCATCACAGCACACCACCGCTGAAGGCTTCTCACCGTACTCCAGTAGCAACACCCACACAGCAGTGTGACCTGTCCCTAAACTTCACAAATATCTCTTATGTGCTTTGATCTGTTGACAGGTAAATTTCTGTCAGGAGGGCATTTAA